AATCTCTTCACCCTTCCTTCTGCACCTTAAACTTTGCAATTTATGATACAATAATTACAGGTGTTTCAACATGCACTTTATCCAAAATTCACTTCCAGGTATTGCCAATATTGTCTGTAATAGGGTCTTTCTACCCTTACCTCTGATTCTAAGAGTTTGCAATTTCTGCCTATAAAACTTACAATAGTATAAATTTCTATGTTATTCAAAATTGGGGTGTTACATTTTGACAATTTTGTTTCAAGAGGACGGTGACAAAATGTCTAAAGCCAGATTTTGTGTAGGGGTGCTTTCAACCCTTCCTTCTGAACTTAAATCTTTGCAATTTAGAGTATTAAAAAATGCAGGTCTTTAAACATCCATACTATCCAAAATTCGTTTATCAGATTTTGATAATATTGTTTGAGGAGGAGGGTGACAAGTGTGTAAAGTCAGATTTTTATAAGGGTGCTCTCTACCCTTCCTTCTGGATATAAAATTTTGCAATTTGTGATAGTAAAAATTACAGGTGTTAAAACACTCATATTATTCAAAATTTTTGAGTCAGATTTTGGTAATTTTGTTGAAGGTAACGGAGACGAAATGTCTAAAGTCAGAATTTGTGTAGGGGTGATTTTTATCCTTCCTTCAGAACCCAAAGTTTTGCATTTTAGTACTGAAAATTATAGAGATTTAAACATGCATACTATTCAAAATTCGATTGTCAGATTTTGATAGTATTGTTTGTAAAGGGTTGGAACAAAATGGGTGAAGTCGGATCTTTTGTAAGGGTGCTGTCTACCTTCCCTTTTGAAACTAAAACATTATAATCAAATGGTGCAACTTAAACTTTTTAGTGGCAGTAAATCCGCACCAGATGGAGATACTTTGTCTATATTTGGGCATTACAGATGTTTAATAGTAAAAATTGCAGGTGTAAAAACAGTCATAATATTCAAAATTCGTTTGTGGAATATTGAATATTCTGTTTGAAGAGGACAAGGAGAAAATGTGTGAAATCACATTCGTTATATAAAATTTCTTCACCCTTCCTTCTGAACCTTAAACTTTGCAATTTATGATACCAAAAATTACAGGTGTTTCAACATGCACTTTATCCAAAATTCACTTCCAGGTATTGCCGATATTGTCTGTAGAAGGCGAGGACAAAGCGTGTATAGTCACATATTCATTTAAGGGTCTTCCTACCCTTGTCTCTGGGGTGCTTTCTATCCTTCCTTCTGAACTCAAATATTTGTAATTTATAGCATAAAAGCTACAGGTATTTAAACATGCATATGAATGAAAATTTCTTTGACAAATTTTGATAGTTTTATTTGAAGAGGAGGGTGACAAAGTGTGTAAAGTCAGATTTTAATAAGGGTGCTCGCTACCCTTGTTTTTGGATTTAAAACTTTGCAGTTTCTGATAGTAAAATTTACGGGTGTAAAAACACTCACATCATTCAAAATTTGTGACAGATTTTAGTAATTTTGTCTGAAGGTAACGGAGACGAAATGTCTAAAGTCAGAATTTGTGTAGGGGTGATTTTTATCCTTCCTTCAGAACCCAAAGTTTTGCATTTTAGTACTGAAAATTATAGAGATTTAAACATGCATACTATTCAAAATTCGATTGTCAGATTTTGATAGTATTGTTTGTAAAGGGTTGGAACAAAATGGGTGAAGTCGGATCTTTTGTAAGGGTGCTGTCTACCTTCCCTTTTGAAACTAAAACATTATAATCAAATGGTGCAACTTAAACTTTTTAGTGGCAGTAAATCCGCACCAGATGGAGATACTTTGTCTATATTTGGGCATTACAGATGTTTAATAGTAAAAATTGCAGGTGTAAAAACAGTCATAATATTCAAAATTCGTTTGTGGAATATTGAATATTCTGTTTGAAGAGGACAAGGAGAAAATGTGTGAAATCACATTCGTTATATAAAATTTCTTCACCCTTCCTTCTGAACCTTAAACTTTGCAATTTATGATACCAAAAATTACAGGTGTTTCAACATGCACTTTATCCAAAATTCACTTCCAGGTATTGCCGATATTGTCTGTAGAAGGCGAGGACAAAGCGTGTATAGTCACATATTCATTTAAGGGTCTTCCTACCCTTGTCTCTGGGGTGCTTTCTATCCTTCCTTCTGAACTCAAATATTTGTAATTTATAGCATAAAAGCTACAGGTATTTAAACATGCATATGAATGAAAATTTCTTTGACAAATTTTGATAGTTTTATTTGAAGAGGAGGGTGACAAAGTGTGTAAAGTCAGATTTTAATAAGGGTGCTCGCTACCCTTGTTTTTGGATTTAAAACTTTGCAGTTTCTGATAGTAAAATTTACGGGTGTAAAAACACTCA